TTATTATTTTTGAAGTGAAGGAGGCAGTGAGCATGGTTACCTCATAGCTGCTGCTGTGTTGCAATATTTTCAGGGGGGGCTTATTTGGGGGGATGACTTTTTAGCGCATGTGCTCAAAAGCCTGATTGGGCTTATTATCCGGGGAGGTCTTATTTTCAGGAAAACAGAGTATCAGTAATCAGAAAAACTGCTATGGAACTAATCCTGAAACACATAGTCATTTTTTTCAGACTCTAAAATAATGTGGTCTATTGAAAAGCAAATGTTAAAGGTAGATTCTGTGTGCCCATCACAGGTTTTATACAGTAAAAATTTCAGCATTCTCAAGCTGCTCAGCAATCTCAAGCTATAGCAATAGCAGTTAGACTTATATACCGCTTCATAGGGCTTTCAGCCCTCTCTAAGTGGTTTACAGAGTCCGCATATTGCCCCCACAGTCTGGGTCCTCATTTCACCCACCTCAAAAGGATGGAAGGCTGAGTGAACCTTGAGCCAGTAAGATTTGAACTGCTGAACTGCAGATAGCAGTCAGCTGAAGTGGCCTGCAGTACTGCACTCTAACCACTGTGCCACCTCAGCTCAGTCCTTAAGTCCTCTTTAATATGTGCTTTACTAAATTTATGCATTTGTTCATTTTCAGAGGTGGCACCCTTCGTCTNCGCGGCTCTGCAGCCACATGTGGCTCTTTCATCCTTCTGCTGCAGCTCCCTGTTGCTCAAAATATGTGTCATAACCACCAATGTGCGACACCTACTGCCATGCAATTTATTGAGCTTTTCAACCCCCAGTAGGCCAACAATGGATAAATCCAAGAAAAGAGTCCTTCGGGATTGGGCGGCCTATAAATTTAATAAATAGAAATAGAAATAGAAATAGAAGAAGTTTCAGAAGAAAACAGAATATTTAATTCAACTACATATGTTAGTTTTATGGCCTCTCAGGAAATAGTCAGGCATGGGAAGGATTTTGTGGCTCCCAGTGTTTTCTTTTCTGTGGGAAATAGTTCCAAATGGCTTTTTCAGTGTTTAAGATTGCAATTGGTGGAATTTTCAGAACAAAAGATCAGCCAAAATGTGATGCTGAGTGTAACTATAGAGTGTATGGAGTGCCATTTGAGATGAAAGTATTAAGGGCATACAATGACAAAACGGGGGGAAAGGAAAAGCTTGCCTTTTATTCTTTCCCTTGTAAGCGAGACACTTTCTTTTTTGGATTACAATTTTATGATTGGAAACCATTGGAGAAAGCAGTAAAACTAACTGAGGGGGGAGAAGATCATTAGAGCAATATACAGAGAGGGGAATTACACTAGATTTACTTCAGAAAATTGAGAATTGGGCAATAAGTTGACACTAAATTGACTAACATAACTGGCTACTAAATTGTCATCTTTTGAAAAAAAATAAAGTATCAAAAAGATGTAAAGACGACAGAGGAGATTAAAGAAGTGAAGAAGAAGCTTTGTAATTGTCTAGAGTGATACAACAAGTTATGGAACAAATGGATGGCTAAGTGGAAGTTCTGGAAAATATGAAGTTATAGATAAAAAACTGAAAAGAGAATTAGATAATTTGGCAGCAGTTACTTGGAATGGAGAGATGGAAATTCGTTTGAGATTTAGAGCAATCTCAGAAGATTCTGATAATGATATTAGGAAAAGGTTATTAAAACTTTACCAAATTGAAACTTTTGGATTGGAATGAAGAGGATACAAAGGAAGAGATTGATAAGGTGTGTAGAATAAATACAAGATTTATTTCTGAAGAAGATGAGTGGTTAGAAACATGAAGGTCAGGGGTGAAATCCAGCAGGTTCTGACAGGTTCTGAAGAACCAGTAGAGGAAATTTTGAGTAGTTCAGAGAACTGACAAATGCCACCTCTGGCTGCCCCCAAAGTGGGGTAGGAATAGAGATTTTGCAACATCCGTCCTCTGCCACGGCACCAGGCCGTTTAGAGAGACTACTAAAAGCCAGGGATTAAAAGAGGTTTACATCCATCAAGGATGGGTTCCGGCAGTCATTACTACAGGTTTGCTCATGTGCGTGCTGTGTGTGCACTGTGCATGTGCTTGATGCATGATACATGTGCATGTGCAGTGCAATAAAAATTGTTCTGCGCATGTGCAGAAGCAAAAAACAAGATGGCGGTGCCTATGGAGCCACCTGGAGAACCAGTTCAGGGGCATGGCAGGCCAGCGACCCAGGCCGCCAAACCACTACCAGTCCGAACTGGTAGGAACCCACCACTGCCATCCAGGCAGGGGTGTGTGTGTGTGTGTGTGTGTGTGTGTGTGTGTGTGTGTGTGTGTGTGTGTGTGTG